CCCCCCCCCCCCCCCCTTAAATTTTTACAGATGACAGAAATCCATCTTAGCCGCATTCAAAATGACAAAAATCCACCACGGCACCGGAGAACATTAATCCACGTGTATCTCAGGTCAGAAATACACACTGATTGTAAAGAGGCCTTTAAAAAGTTTTCTTCAACAGGTAATACAAATGTTCATAACCGGTGGTAGGCACAGCTAACGCTAAACTGCTGAAAAAATTGCAGAAGCTAATGCTAACTGCTAAGGCGACTGTCACACAGTCTGTGTCACGTCTTCGTCTCCTTCCAGTTGAAGACAGGAAGGTGAGACTGACCAACACCTGTTGATGTTAGTTTGATTCTGCTGGGTTACACAAAGCTGTTCAGCTGCATCGACCAGTCACGTCTTGTCACGTGTACATGTGGCTAGCCGACTGCATGCCTAATGGACTCTTAGAGACACGCCCACAACAGACAGGAACAAACATGTGAATTTTGTTAGCGGACTTAAAGTTAGCGGAACCCAAGTTAGTGGAAGATAATCAGTTTGCTAACGGTTTCCAAAGTTAGTGAAAACACTAAAAAGTTATCTTCACTATTGGCTGTTAGTAGATTAGTGTTCACCACTGTTCATAACCTTTCCACAGCACCCCACTTCAAAAGATCTGAACTATTGCTTTAGGTGTAAAGTAGCCTGCCAAACTGTACCTGATTTACCATAGGCTTCCACTAAGTTGCTCCTAAATTACTCGACTAAATCCCAACTTCTAACCTGTAACATTCTGTAAACATGTCCAAAGAAAGGCAGAAAGTAAAAGAATTCACCTGCGTGAGAGTTTGAACATTGATGATGTTGATGAGACGGAAGAGGAAAGACAGCCTGTTCTCAACTCTAGCCACGTAGGACAACAAGCAGCACTCAGACAGAACCTCCATCACTGGGTGGAAATAAAACACAAGAACAGCACGGCATGGTTTATCTGCACAAATTACCAGCATTTCAGCTTTTATTAATTTAATAAACAAACTGATCTGAGACTATTTTTTTCTTCAAGTAAATCAGATTTAAGAAGTTGAAAGATACTCAATCCCTATATACCTTTGACATCTTCAGTTTGGCTCTCAAAGCGGTCCAAAGAAAGGACAATGCAGCGCACCAGCATGTTTGAGTCCACTAATGAGCTGTTAATCTGGGTCAGGAAAGCCTGAAACTGAAAAGAAGAAAATGCAATTTTACCATTAATGATTATTCAAAAGTTGCTGTAAAGTTTCAATCCACTACATACACAACATTTCTACAGAGACAATAATAGATAGGACAATGTGGTGTGTGAAAGCAGAACCGTTTCACTGGAAGATGTGCCAATATCATATCATGTAGTAATTATATTTACACCATAATGCTGTTTATGTTGTGTAAAAAAACTACAGATTGAAGAGTGTGTTTCACTGATACAAGCAGCACTAAGACCCTGAGATAAAACTTTTTCTCTTTTCAAGCAGAGTTCTAGAAATACAATGAAACAAACTACAGAGCAGGCGCATTCAAGTAAAAGGTCATTTTTGGTAATTTTATGTGCAAAAGAATACTCAAACTTTTACCTAAGACCACTTGCTGTACTCCCTCGCTACTTCGTGGTTCATTTATCGCAGACTCACTCTATCGCGGTTTTTCAAAATAAGAGTGGACATGACAAGTGGCTGATTGATGGATGAGCCGCACGATCGGCAAGAAATTTTTATGTAAAATAAATTATTTTAAATTATTTAGCACCTGCTGCAGCTTTGTGCAGCCCATACTGCTGCAGGATAAACTTCCTGCTGCAGTTGAACAGCTGATCAGATGTTCAGGGTGCAGAGCGGAGAAGTGAACGTGGCCAGGAGCGCTTGCAGGTGGCAAAGAGAAGAGGAGGCAGGGAGCTGAAATCATGACATGTTGTGCTCTTTTAGAGTGTTTTGAGTTTAGAAACATTGTTTACAATATTGCTAGAGTGTGGGAAGGGTTTAAAATGCCTTTATATATATCTATAAAATAATAAACTAAACTACTACTTAATACTTGAACTACTATTCCTACTTGGCGGTTTTCACTTATCACAGGTCTTTCAGGGTACGGATCCCCCGTGATAAACAAGGGACTACTGTAATGAAATATTGCATAAATTTTGTTTTTCATATTTTATACCAGAAAGACTTAATAGGGGCAGCACGGTGGTGCAGTTAGTAGAGTCGCTGACTCTCAGCGAGCAGGTCACCCCAGTTCAAATCCCGGTCGAGGGTCTTTCTGGGTGGAGTTTGCATGTTCTCTCCGTGCATGCGTGGGTTTTCTCCAGGTACTCCAGTTTCCTCCCACAGACCAAAAACATGCATGTTAGACTGATTGGTAACTCTAAATTGTCCCTAGGTGAGTGAGTGTGAATGGTCGTTTGTCTCGTTTGTCTCTATGTGTCCCTGTGATGGACTGGAGACCTGTCCAGGGTGTCCCCCGCCTCTCACACAGTGACTGCTGGACATGGGCACCAGTGACCCCTGTGACCCAAAAAGGAATAAGCGGGTAAAGATATTGGCCGGATGGATAGATAATGGATGGATGTTTGGATGGATAATGGAAGGATGTTTGGATGGACTTAATAGGTACAGAATCATACCTTCTCTGGAGTGTTGACATATTTGTTGAATCTTTTGAAGGCATCAATGTTGAACTTCATGAGCTCTCCGAGAAGATCAAAGTAGCTCTGAAGGACATCTCGAGACGTGCACCCGCTGTCTATGATGCAGAACAGGATGTGCTGTCGAAGGGTGGAAGCAGAAAACGAGAAGCCGTTCACCAAGTGAATATTTAAAAGAAACATTTAATTTGGTCTTTAAAGAAGACAACTACTACTTGCTGTGGTTTTACCTCTAATAGACCTCTCTTTAGAAGAAACATTTGATCTGCGTAAGATGTTGCTCCTCTCAGAAAACTTTCCACTGCCCTCGCCTGCCAGAACCTGGATTTATAAATATTCAAACACAGAATCAGTAAACAAGGTCCAGGCAAAAGAAGATGTTTTGTCTCTTATAAAAAAGTTTGTATTAAATTATACCCACGCTGTCTTTGATACTAACCTGAAAGACGAGTCGGGAGGCTCCCTCTTCATGACAGTGAGGAGGCGCGTGAGGAGACCCTTCTTACCGTCACAAACTAAGCTTCTGTCCGTGTTGACCAGAGCTTCCACCTCAGGGATGTTGGCCTTCATGGATATGGCACTCAGCTCATTCAGCTCCTGATTATTAAGGAGCAGATACTTGTTCCTGGAAGACAGACGTGTTCATAAGACGTAAGAATTGAAAGTGATACTGGAAGTGAACTAAAGGGCACTCACTCATGGTGATCACTGAAGCTCTGAAGTAGTCGCAAAAACTGGATTTTAAAGGATATTTCCTGCATAATTAAAAGAAACAGATTATTTGAAAATGCAACAAGTTTTACGCAGACAGACACAGTTTATGTCTTGAAGAGACTTGATGAAACAGTTCTTACAGGACTACAGTCGCAGTTTTCATTCTGGCCGTGCACCACATGATTGGAGGCTGTGTACTTCCTCCAGATGAGCTTGTCAAACAGATTGTTGAGACCCGGGATGAGGCGGAACTCAGCCAGCATCTTGTGGACCTAAAACAAAAAGGCAAAAGACGTGTGAGAATCTAAGTTCAGCCTTAACGCCACTCTAAACTTAAAAGGAAACGAACCTGATTCCTCTGTCGGCCCATTAGAAGAACACAGAGCACGTAGAGCACTTCCACTTTATACATGATCTCATGGACAATCTTCATGGACTGAGGCAGTCTATATCTCAGGGGGCTGGTGGCCAGAGAACTCTCATCTGATGACTCTAAAGATACAAATAAACAAACAAATGAATGCTACAAATACATTTTAGGAGATTCAAGCAAAGAAATTAAATACACAATGATCTTGCCTGTGTTGCTTTGCTCACCCTCCTCGGTGGCCATCTGCATGAGAGCATCAAGAACCAGAGCGTTGTCCAGCCACGTGTACCAGTCTTCCAGCTCCTGCAGGAAATTTGCTCCTGTGGCTTCAGAAACCTTTCTGGTAGCGAGTTTACACAGCCGCTCGATGAAGCCAGGGATGTTCAGAAGAGTGACTGTAAGAAGAGTTTATTAAAACATGTATTCTTTGAAGTGGTACAGCACACTTGAACTTGGTTGTTGTGCAGGAAAGATACCCACCCTGGTTGACCTCAGCCCGTGAAGGACTGGTGTTGCACTTCTGCTGTACATTTTTGGCCAATAAAGTGTGTTTGTCATCATTCCCGATGTCAGGTTCTGAAATGGTGACAGACAGGATGCGACAAAAGTTGGCCAGCTGTTGCTGGTCAAAGCTTTGGACCAGGCCGGACAAGTTGGGGATCCCGTCTAGCTGGATCATCTCCTTCAAGGCAAAAACATATGTAGAGTCACCAAATGCAGACATAACACTGACCATCATATTTTAATTAATAACTAAGTGTTTTATAAATGTTTCAAAGTAAAATAAAATTAAAAAATTCACACTGATGCTGAACTAAACAGCACTCTAAACTCAGAGAAACATTTTTAATTTGTCCATACACAAACAAGAACAGACTATACATACACAACATTATAAAGCTGTCGGAGCTGAAAAACATTGTTTTACCTCCTATAAAAGACGTTTCATATTCTATACAGTGGTCCCTCACTACTTCACAGTTCGACCGTCACGGACTCGCTCTTTTGCGGTTTTTCAAAGTAAGATTGTACACAAGAAAAAAAATTGTACAGGACACATGATTGTCAACTTTAATATTACTAACATGATTGGGACAGTACTGGATACAGTACTGTACAGTAAAAAGTTAACAGCAAAATAACATACTTGAGACAGGCGCCACCATTTTGTAGTTTTCTCTCAACAAGCCTACACTGTATCCCCGTTCATAAGGACTACATTTCTCAGAGGACAACAGTGCCCCACTCAGAAGTCATGTTTCCATCATTATCTTTTACCCGCTTCTTCCATTTTGGGTCACGGGGGTCGCTGGTGCCCATGTCTGGCATTCACTGAGCGAGAGGCGGGGTACACCCTGGACAGATTGCAAGTCCATTTCAACCGGCGTGTCAGCGGACGCACACAGCAGGTGACAGGTTGTCCATCTGAACTTAATGCAACTTTTTTTTTAACCTCTTGAAACCAGCCGGTCGGACCTGCCTCCTCCTCTACAAGTAGATTAACACAATTTTATATCATGCGTTCTTTTTTAGTTTTACTTGTGCTGTATGATTCGTAAAACCATATCAAAGCCCGAGACTGGCCCGGCCCGCACATTATTATGGCCCGGCCCGAATCTGGGTCGGACTGGGCCAAGTTCGGGTTAGAAATGACAGCTCTACTCCAGAACCATCAGCGAATCCGAGAGCTGCTAGCCGGCCCACAAGGACCTTGGAGCGGGGAGACGCCACCGTAGGTCCGGCGCTGTTTCCGGAACCAACTGGGACTTTTTTTATCCAGACTTTGACACAATCGGACCACCTCCGGTCCCGCGCTAACCACCCAAAGGTCCGCCACCCCCAAAATGAGTTTCGGTGCTCAAGGACTGCACAGAACCAGACCAAAACAGGAGCAGAACCGGACCCCCAGACTCATCAGTGAACCCGAGAGCTGCTAGCCCGCCCATGAAGACCCCGAGCAGGGAAACGCCGCCCATAGGTCTGGTGTTCCCTCTGGAGCCCACCACTACTACCCCGAGCAAGAGAGCCGACCAGAACTGGCAGGGTAGTTCCGCCAAAATGGAACCAAGTCGGACTGGAACCAAGCATAACCGAGCCACTGCTGTTCTGCAGAGCTGATAAAATGTTGCAGTACTGTACAGTAAAAATACACGTTGTTAAAATGATGTGGGTTTAAGAGGGTAGAACATTACAAGAGTGTGGGAAGGATCTCTAAAGCTCTAAAATAAGTATAATGTCCCTACTTCGCTGTTCACTTATTGTGGGGGGTGAGTGCGGAACATAACTCCCGCACTAAATGAGGGACTACTATATTACAAAAAGAGTGCAAAAAGAGTGAAGGAGATCAATAATTATTAAAGTTACAAAACTTGACAAAAGTCACTCTAAAAAACTACTTCAAGAGCAACTTCCCATGTTTATTCTGCAGACTCTAAAGTACAACACTGACCTTTTTCACTCCTAGAATGTCTTCAATAAGAGTTGCAGTCTGCAGGAACGTCTTCTTGTTTGTCATCAGGGTGAAGAGAAACAAAACAAAATCGTCCCTCGCTGCCAGGCTCTTTGTCACCCCTTCAGTCTGAGAATTGAAACAATACATTTTTGCATTCCTGTTAACTGCATTAAAACCTCAAAGATTTAAAATATTACACACTTTCAACTGGTATAAAATATAGGAACTTTCTCTGACATTACTCAGAACTTTAAAAACTTAAAGATACTTACACATATACAACAATTGTACAGAACACTAAGGCAGTCTTTGACCAAGTCATCATTCACTGCTGCAACAGGAGCACAGATATAAGCATGAGTATCATACAATTACATAAACAGTAAACCTAAAAATACTTTTATTTGCGAGAGAGCAGACAACAGCACATTTACAATGTTAGTCCTACTCACTTTTAGGTATTTTCTTCTGCATAGTTAGTGTGGGTCTCATCAAGATTTCCACAAGCAGCTACCAAAAAAAGTTTGAAATAAAGTCTTTACTGGAATCTCAGTAAGTCACAATACACCTGACACTTAAAAGTCTCATTAATTTTTTTTAAAATAAATAAAAAAACACGTCACAAGTATCAGACTTACTTCGACTCCACCAAAAAGGTCAAAGGTATACGTGTTGGGGAAGGTGGATTCCTGAGCAGTCTTCCGGTCTTCTGTGACAAAGGACATGGCCTCCATGGAGAGCTGTGATGATAATACCTGACGAAGAACATGGTTTACAATAATCCAACCATCAACCACGTGACTAAAACTTCAGTGTGTTCAACAAACCTTGAGAAAACTGTGAGCGTGGGAGAGGTCACTGTTGGGATGGCTGCTCTCGTAGAGCTTCTGAAGCAAAACAGGGATGCCATGCCACTTGGCACGTTTATCTCTCTCCTGGAGCAGGCCTCCTGGGAGCTGCAACACACAAAACGCAACTTTATTTAGCACCACGTGCCTACTGAAAATGGAATAGTTATTTGCTACAAAGGGAGGGTTTTTTTTGGCAGTATTTTAAAACTTTATTTTATATTAGAGAATTTCTCATACAAAATGTTTATTGCAAAGATAAAAAAGAACAAACATCTATAAAATGTGGTTTATGCAGGTATCAAATGTCATTGTCAATTTATTTATATAGCACATAAAAGTTGACCAAAGGGCTGTACAATTTAGTCAAATTAAAATGAAAACATAAAAAGAAGAAAATACATCTTGTGTCACTAATGAAGCACAAGGAAGTAAAGAATAATATACAACAAACCACACCAAGAAAAATCAGCTCTAACTGATTCTCAGACTCTGCGTGGATCAAATGTCAGAAAAACAGATGAGTTTTGAGCAGAGATTTAAGTCTCAACAGTCTCAGCAATAGGCCTGTCAGTCACGATAACAAAATTTGCTTGGCGATTAATTGTCTCAGAAATTATTGCGATAAACGATAACATTGTTTGAAATTTTTAAATAATTATCAAATGTAAGAAGAAATGTTGATTTGTTTGGGGTGTAATACCTTTTTTGACCACCTGATGGCAGTATAAGACTGAACCAAAGAATGGATAGTTGAGCAGCGTCTCTAAGAAAAATGGGAGGGAGGGCCCTTGATGTGACATGGGCTGACATGGTGACGGATCATGCGAATAACTGATTTATTGTTTATCGCGACAGGCTTACTCAGCGGTTTTTAAATTATCAGGTAAACTATTCCACACTCTTGAAGCAGCAATCGCAAAAGCCCGATCACCTCTGGACTTCAGTTTGAATCTGGGGACATCTAAGAGAAACTGGTTGGTGGACCAGAGTGCTCTTATTGGAACGTATATGTTAAGATCACATAAATAAGACGGGGCTAGACCTTTTAAAACTTTAAAAACAAGCAATAAAATTTTAAAATCAATCCAGAAGTGAACAGGAAGTCCGTGGAGAGAAGCCAGGACAGGGGTTATGTGTTCATGTTTTCAAGTTGCTGTTAAAAGACGAGCTGCTGCGTTCTGGACAGATTGTAAACAATGCAAAGATGATTCATCTAAACCAGTCCTTCTCAAATAGTGGGGCGTGCCCCCCTGGGGGGGCCCGGAGCAATGCCAAGGGGGGCGCATGTGACCCCGGAGAACATTTTGCGGCAGGGATTAGGTTTTTGATTTTTTACACCATTCTCATTGTGTCAGGGTGAGTTTGGCAACTGTTTGTTAAAATCCGTCAACTCTCAGTCTGACTAATAATAAAGTTATGAACAAATATGTCTGTCTTGTTGTTTGGGGAGCCATGATTGAACCGTGTCGCTGTGACACCTCAGCTGGTGACGCTCTGGACGCTTGTCACCCACAGCACGCATGCGACAGAGAATAAACTCAAAGCAAGAGCGTTACCTGCCCCTCTTCTGCTTTGACTTTAACAATTTTTATTTAGTTTGTCAAAGCACAATTTAATCTTTTTTTTTTTAAATACAGAAGTAATGTTTACTAAATGTTAGGACTCTATTCTTTACTAACAAATCCTCAGCTCTGGACACATTTCACCCACAGCGCGCAGCAACAAAGAGTATAAAGTCAAAGCGAGAGTGACACCTGCCCCCTCTTTCCTCTTTCACGTTGACAAAATGTTTTAGTTTTATCGATTGTCAAAGCAAAATGTTTTTTAAAATTTGTTATAAAAACAATGTTTAACAAATGTTAGGACTCTATTCTTTGCTAACAAAATATATTTTGTCATTAAACAACTTGTCAGGTTCTTGTGAGCGCCACATCCCCCCACATCTCGCTCACTCTTGAGCTCTTTGCAGCTTCTCTGCTGTTTCTGCTCTGAGTCCAGGTCCAGGTCCAGCTAAACATCGAGCAGGAGCTGAGAGCTGCAGGATCATGTTTCAAACTCCGCTTCAAAAAGCTGCGCACTGCAAAACGTGCTCATTGTAGCCATTAATCCCAACTTCCTCATTTTGATTAAAAAAAAAACAAAAAAACACAAATTGTTTTATTCATTTTTGTTTTGTAGGTCAAAGCGTTGTATATAATACTCCTGAGTTAAAATGTTGCTGATCAATTTGAATTTATTATTATTTATTGATTGTATTTAATTTGATCGTTCAGTATCAAATGGTCAAAAATGTTTAGTTTAAATAAGGATATATATATTTTTAATTTCAGGCAAATTGATGTACTTTAAGCCTTTTCTGTTACAGACTATAAAACAATGTTAATAATCTTTGTTGTAAGTTGATCTATATTTCTTTCTTTATTTAATGTTAATAAGGGTACAATGTTATGCAGAGGTGTACTTATAATAATTTTTTAGACAAATTATACTATTTACAGTCACGGCAGAGAGTTGGGGGGGGGGGGGGGGCACGAAATGTTTACTTCTTCCTAGGGGGAGCGTAACCGAAAATAATTGAGAAGCATTGATCTAAACAAAGATATAACGATTTACAATAGTCCAAACGAGAGGTGATAAAAGCGTGAATCACCTTTTCGAGGTCTCTGGAAGGGAGACAAGACTTCACCTTGGCAACAATGAGTCTTAGTTGGAAGAAGCTGGATTTCACAACTGCATTTATCTGTTTGTCTAATTTACAAATACTATCAAAAATAATCCCCCAGATTCTTGACAGTGGAGTGGCTGTATGAAGCCAAGGAGCCAAGAATGTCAAGGGCATTACCTTTTCCAAAGCTAATGATTTCAGTTTTATTTTTCATTTAGATTCAGAAAATTTAGTTTCAACAATATTTTAATATCACTCAGACAGTTCGAGTGATTCCAGCAGAATGACCCTGTCTGACTTGATGGTAAAATACAACTGAATATCATCAGCAAAGCTATGAAAAGAAATGTTATATTTTTCTAAAAATGAGCCCCCAAAAGGCAACATATAAAGATTAAAAAACATTGGACCTAAAATAGACCCTTGAGGGACCCCACAGATTAGAAGAACTGCAGATGAAGAACATTCCCCTAAATGAACAAAAATATTCCTGTCAGTCAGGCAGGATCTAAAACCAGGATAAAACTGTGCCTTTGATACCAACCACATGTTAAAGCTGTGACCACATGATGCTGTGGTCCACAGTATCAAAGGCAGCAGAAAGGTCTAAGCACTAGAACAGCACAGCTTCCTGGGTCAACGGTTAAAGAAAGGTCATTTAAAACTCCTAAAAGTGCCGTCTCTGTGCCGTGGCCCGATTTAAAACCGGACAAACCTGAAAATATTTTGTTGGTAGTTAATCTTAAACTATTTTTTATTGTACTCTATTAATCCCTAATGGGAAAATTAATTCTCTGCATTTTTCTTATTGGACATGTGAGCACATACACGTGAAGCAGTGGGCTGCCAACCAAGATGCCCGGAGAGAAGCCGGGGGGTGGGGGGTGGGGAATTTAAAGGCCTTACTCATTGCTCATGGGCCCAGAGTGGGACAAATGAGGGCCGAGGCAGATGTGGGTGTTTCACATTTTCCACCAACATTTTGATGTTGTCAGTCTGGGGAGTTGACCGGCAACCTCTGATCACAGGTAGGCCTGTCACAATAACAAATTTTTCTGGGCATTTAATTGTCTCAGAAATGAGGGGGGTGTGGGTGGGTGGCAGAGTTAAGATAATTGAAATTTCCTCAAATTGTGTGGTACAAAGTTTTTAAGAAAAACTGTTATAAATAATCTTTTAATATACAAGTGGAGAGAATCAGCCCAGGTCAAACAGTTGAAAGCTATAGCCAAAAAACAAAACCTTTTCCTCCAAGATCTAAAACCATAACCACCTGACAGAGACTATAACCTATAAATACAAATATACTGCAAGTAAGATGCAACAAGTTTAATACTCGTTACATGAGAACTTGTAACGATCAGAACTGTTGAAATTAAGTGTTTTATGTAGACCCGTTTACCAAATGCTCTCTTCAAAGTCACATTCAGTAAGTATTAACTTAAGAGGCAACAGATATGCAGTGCCAGACAATGTGACTATTTTATTACAGATTATGTGAAATACATCAACAAAACAATAGGTGCAGTCTCTGCAAGAATACTTTGTTAAACTTAATGTCACATTTTGTCATTTCACTCATTCATTCAACCTCAAATAATGACAGGCTTTCCTAAATGTTTTTTGTTTGTTTTATTGGGAGTTAGTCATAAATGTGGAAAATATATCAGTATTGATAACAATTTCCTGCAGGATCAATAAAGTTCTTATCTTATTTGTGACCCCTTTTTATTAATATGTACCAGATGTCTTTTTATAGCATCAGTCACCTGAAAACAAATTAAACTCTTGTAAAGCTCTGAAAGTGAGAAGAGATTTGCAGTTTCATTGTTACAGATGTATCTAAATATTTTATAAACCTGAAGACTTGTGACAATGAAATCTGGTGGCATTGTTTTTATTTTGTTGTTGCAAACCAGATAAACAAAAAATGCTCCGAAAGTTAACACTGTAAACAATCGCTTGAGATGAAACCAAAAAACTTTTTAACCTGCCTAAACTGCAGCACTGACGCACTCAATTAATGGAAACGACGGTGATTTTGATTGTGCGTCATTACGTCATCACCTGAGCTCAGCTGCCCTAGCTCCGTCTGCTAACATTAGTAAAATGTTACTGCGGAGAGTTAGATGTTTTAAGCACTTCTGGACTTACACTGCGGGCTTTTTAGGAAGACTAAGACCCAACTGTAGGACAGTGAAAAACAAAGTTTGAAGAGATTAACCTAAATCTACAAAACACCTCACTGAACCAAGGTATAACTGCTAAGCTAACGAGGAGCTAACAACAAAAGATCCCAGTTGAACCGATTCAGTTCGCTCGCGGTAACAATAACGTTTTCTTTTTGATTGTCAGCGACAAAACATTGTTCACAATTAATCATTTGAAACAGATACGTAGTTCGGAAACACTTCGTAAGACCCATCTGACAGGGGCGACTGTATCCTTAGTTACATCTCCAAATAGCGTCTTCATTTTCAGGCTCGACTCCCAAGCGCGAGTCCCTGGTCTGTCGTCTCAACTTTCGGATGTGCTACCTGTCAAAAAAAGAGCCATTTCTCTCACCTGAGTTCCTCGACTGAAACCCTTGCCAGTGATTTTACTGGACGTGAACTTTGTGACTATGCTGTTGTTGGAGTTTCTTCGTTTTCTTCCAGTACAAGTAAACTCGGAACCCACAAGCGTCGCCATTATTTCTTCTTCCTGAACTGTTCGTGCAGGAAAGCGGAGGCTGTGATATGCAGCTGAGGGGGTTCAGCGCCACCTGCTGGTGAAGAGGCGCAACTACAGGGTTTACTGTGCAGCTGCTTTAGTTTTTATTTTAAAATATCCTAACAGACGTTTATGGAAGGCATTTATGCCACAGTATCTCATAATTATGATAAAATTGTACTTATTTGTTTCAAAGTTATAATTATGTACAATCCCAGCTCCAAAAGTGGGTGCATGTAATGTAAATTCAAAAAAGTTCAAGACAAAAATAACTGGACTTTATTTGTAACAAAAGACGTTTTGCTTCTCATCCAAGGAGCTTTCTCAATTCAAGAACAGAGTGGAGTTCGAGTTATAAAGATGAGCTAAGCTAAATACATATGTAGATTGCCCTATCACTACTCACAATAAGGTTTCGTTAGCGTCTGAGATACAGAGGAGCCACTCTGGTGACATGGCTGAAGTTCCTGATAGGTGTGAAAATGGCTGGGTATCATGTCTAACTGCTGCATTCTAGGTGAAATCTAGACCTCCTCCTCTGTTCAAAGATGGTTTCTCTCGTATGTAATTAAAAACAGAATATAACTGTGTTGTTTAATTGTAATTGTGTACTCAAGGTCCCAGTTACATCCAAACAGATATAAAGTATAAAAAAGAAATAGTATACAAGGATCTAAGATATACACTAAACAATGATAATTTAGTATAATGTGGTGTCTTAAACAGCAGCCTGAACATGAGTCTGTAGTGAGCGGGTATGAATACAGCAGCTTAGAGGCATGAGATCAGCAGCATGGATAATCAGCAGCACAGATAAAGTGACAATCCCAATTAAAGTGGCATTACAATGATTATCTTGTTTAGGGATTAACAGCTTCAGGGTAGAAGCTGTTCCTCAGTCTAGTGGTTCTGCTCTTAATACTCCTCAACCTCCTGCCTAATGGTAGTGGGGCAAAAGTGTGTGTGCTGGGTGAGTGGGGTCCTTCATGATGCAGGTGGCCCTCTTCCTGCATCTGGAGGTGTAGATGTCTGTGATGGTGGGGAGACTGACTCCAACCGTCTTCTGTGCAGCCTTCACCACTCTCTGCAGAGCTTTCCCCTCTCCAGCTGTGGAGCCTCCATGCCACATGTACATTATGAACCAAAGCTCATTTAAAATGGACTGATGCAAAGTGGGAAAACTTTCTGTGGTCAGAAAAAAATATTTTGGAAACTTTTCAGAATGTTCTTTATATTAAAGAGGAGAGGGACGGTCAAGCCAGTTAGCACACTGTTCAAAAGCTTGCCTCCCTGATGGTATGGAGCTGCATTAGTGCCTCTGTCAGCTTATCTGGAAAGGCCTCCACAACGCAATTACTGATTGTAGATTAGAGCAACATGTTGCAGATAGAAGATGTGAATAGAAGGGTGACCCTTTTTCATAAAACCACATATTTAATCTCTCATTTAAGTGAGGGCACCAGGTCGGATTATTGATTTTAGCAATCCAGCCATTAGATTTAATTTATTCACCCATATCAATATCTGAGCTCAACACCTGAAGTGGAATTTGTCTTCACAGGGAATTCTTACAATATTTTTACAGAACAAGGAGAAACCAAATTTGTCTTTTTTTTCTAAAATAATGTAAAAAATAAACTAAAACTCTGCAAACAGACAAACAATAGGTCAACAAACTAACACAGAATTAGGAGGAGGATATTCTGAAGAGTCACTGTAAATACTTGGATTGATGATTTATGACCATTTATTTACCAGTACTTTAAGTTTCCTGAACCTGATTTTAACTTATATTCAATTAACCATAATTTAACAAAATCATACACTAAAGCAGGAATTAATCATTTAATTATCTAAAGTAAACTGTAGATTCTCAGCTCATCTCCACAAAAAGAGCAAATCTTTAAATAAAGAGTGTGGGTCCGGAACAGGCCTGCCTGCAGTCCAGACGTCTCATTAATTAAAAACATTTGACGAGTCATGAAGCAAAGACCACCCAGGATTGTTAAACAGCTAAAGTCCTAGATCAAACAAGAATGGGACAAAACACAGCCCTGTCGTGTATGCTGTTGAGTTTATATGCAATATTTATTTATTTTGCAGCTCATATTGGATTCCAATAATTTAATAATAACAATCATATTACTGTACAAACAAACAATATTACATTAACTGTGTTTTTACATTCAGGCATGCATTAAGTAAAAAGTCTGTATTTCTGTTTCTTCCCTCTGTGTGCTCCCAGCGTTCATTCTGATGCGACTGAGCATCAATGTAGTGTCTCGGTCTCACACCTACAGGACCTCCACAAAGACGACATTCAGGCGCACCAGCCTCCCTCAGTGGCTTTATTCATGCTGCAGCTGCGACAGGCCATGTCTCCACTCTGTCTGTTTGACTTCCATCTCTCAAAGTGATGCACGCTCCCCCCATCACGTGTCCCAGAAGTCATCTTTGCACTCCGTCATCTGGAGGTAGGAGCTGATGGCCTCCCTCAGACCATCGCTCACCAGAGCGTTGTCGGACTCCATCCTCTTCCTCCTGAGGATCACAGACCTTTGGGGTAAAAACATAATAATAAATCAGATTTTAACCAGTTTGTTTTTATTTCATTTGCGACAAGACGTCTTACTGCTTCAAATATGATTAAATTGTCTAGAGAGTTTATAAACTACTGCAGGAACACGAGTTTGCAGCATTTTACTTTGCAGGTTGCACCACTGGCACAAAACTCAACAATAACCCCATCTGTTTACTCGGCACTAAATCGTGCAACATTGTTGGTTTGAATCAACACTTCCTGGGTTATGTCAAGAAAAACTGATGAAGACAAGCTTTCCTAAGATGGGGTGACAGAGTGACACAGTGGCCGATCATCAGTAGGAGAGAAGCTGGAGGGAGTTTTCTCTAACCTTCTGATGTCCTTCCAGTTGATCGTAGGTATCCTGACAGTTATGGGGACGGGCCGGGCCTCTCTGTCCAGACCCAGGACGAAACAAGGCTCCGTCAGCCGACAGCACAGCCCGTCGGCAGAGTCTGTGGGAGGAGGCGTGGCGTTACTGAAAGGCCTGCGGAGGTAACTAACAAGAGAATAAAGCGCTCCGAGCTCAGCACAGACCTGAGTAGTGCTCCACCAGGTGACGGAGGGAGGGGAAGGTGAGACCAGGAGAAATGTAGACCCAGGAGTTCTCCAGGTGCGAGATGCGGTAGTGCTTCACAGGGTTCAGGTTGGAAGAGTTGCTCCTCCTCAGGATGGACAGGGAGTAGCAGTCTGGAGGCAGGAACAGATCCACCAGTAAACACACAGGTCTGGACTGAACTCTGAACGTTGTGTTTGTGCAGCACTGATCTTGTTTGTAATCCTAATTTAACCCTAATCCAGGAGAGTAGATTTTTTAACCGTTAGATTGTGTTCTGCACCTGAACCAGTAGTGCTCAAACAAGTTGTTGCGACAGGGTCAAGTTGAAACCACAGGATGAGTTTCAATGAAACTTGCAGAAAATAATCATTCGACATCCTTCTACAACTAGGGAGTGGTGGAGCAGAGGTTAGAGAAGTGGGCCTGTGATCGGAAGATCGCTGGTTCAACTCCAGGTAGCGACAACATCAAAATGTTGGTGGGATAGGTGATGCACCCACACCTGCCTCCACCTTCATTTGCCCCACCTTGGGCTCTTGAGCAAGGCTCTTAACCCCCACCATCTGCTCCCCTGGACGCCTTAGAGAGGCGTGGTAGCTCAGTGGTCTGTGGTTTTGTCAGGAAGGACATCTGGCGTAAAAATTATTGCCAAGTCTTCGTGCGAGTTAGTTCGCTGTGGTGACCCCTGAAGAAGAGAGCAGCCAAAAGAAGAAGAAGAAGTCTTTCTACATCTGACTGACTTTTGGACTCAACTCGATTCAAGATGGCTGCCGCAGCTAATCAACATTAGTCTAAATAAAAATAGTTATATCTCAGTGAAATGTGGTGGGAGGTTTGCATGATTTCAAGGAATACTGTCTTTATTTTTATTTCAGTTTTCACATTTGTGCAAAAAATGTGACTTTTTAAAACAGTGATAGATTATGTAATCCCCAGATTGTCAACATTGCATCAGCTCGTCTACATCTGTGCCAGCTGCAGTGTGCTTCACTTTCTGAACGGATTAAATCATAAACTCTAACCTCTGTGAGTCTCTGACTCTCGGACCAAGAAGGCACCGCTCTGGTTGTTTGGATGCTTGAGCAGCTCCTCTGCTTTGTACCTGCTGATGCCAGTGAACAGCCACCTGAAGAACAAGTAGAACGACAGGACTGGTGAGTCGTCGTGCTGAAACGTGCGCTCCAGTCCAAACAAAAGGTCAGCCGTCGCTTTCAGGCGTGGAAAATCCACTGGAAGCACGTCAGAGCAGCTTCCACCCCTGGAGGAGGAGTGAAACTGCTGGAGGCAGAGGTCGAGCATGTCGACGGAGAGAACATGTTCCAAACATCTGTTCCTCCTCACGCCTCTCAGGGAACTCCCCTCCTCTCATTCCTCCCATACACCTCCTCCACCTTCAAGACTGTAAGGCCTCTCACCTGTGTGTCACCTTGGCCGTGTAGTTGATGGAGATGTAGCTCTCGCGGCCTGTGACCGCAGATCTCACCATCATGAAATCACCATCACTGTTTTATTAAAGAAGAAAAAATAGACAGTTTTCATTCATTCATTCGTTATAAAGAGGAAGAAAGTTTAAATAAATCAAACTTACTCTGCCACAACTGTTAATCTTTCCCCCATGTGCATGGTTAGTTCTGTGTGCTCAAGCGATGGGTAGTCGTAGAGAGACACAAGGAAAGTTTCCTCCGGTTCTGCACAGACACATGGAAGATGAGTGGCAGCACTTCTTTTTGCACTTTAATGTTCAGGAACTGAACCCACCTGGGGTGTTGGACTCTGGCTGGTTTTCAAGGATGGTCCGGCTGGAACAACACATGGTGAAGCAGGTTCCCATGCTCTGATTTCAAATGTCTGGAAGAGAAAACAACACAATGAGAGGTGCTATGAGAAGTGTCAACTAAAATCTTACATTATGACTCTGCCACCCTGAGTAACCACCTTTAGGTGCTGCACATTTCTTGGAACCAGGCTACAAAACAAGCTGACACAGGAAGGTCTAACCACAGCAAGAAGCAGATATCCTGTGTCAGTTTTCCATGCAGCATGCATGCGAGGAACAAGGTCAGCTTCTCAAGACAGAGAAAAGGTGAGATTTTATTCTTCGGATGCATACCGCTTTTTCATCTTTACAAAGTAAAAAATAATAAATGGATGCTTTTATTTAATCATAGCATTACGAGTGAATCTGGTGGTGTAGATTGAATTTCCAGGAGGTAAACGTGCAACTCACCTCTTCAACTTTGCACAAATTCCTCTTTGAGCTCAGAGTAAATCCAAATCTCCTTCAGCTCTCACACTCATGCATGACCTCGATCAGAGTTCTGCTGCGGCCTGCTGATGGGTCCGATTCGCTGCTCTCCTTCCTCTGCTCTGCTCGCATGAAAGCTGCTGTGTTTTCGCAGCTGTTCACTCTGTGGGCTGACTGAAAGGAGGAGGTCTCCCGCCTCGCCTTTATGTATGTCATCCAGTCTGTCCTGTGACGTTCAACCCTCCGACACCTCGAGCTGAGGCAGAGCACCGTGATAAAACACACCCCAGGATTATGAAATCAACCAGCAGCATTTATTACGCCTGCACTACAAGCAGTAGGCGACATATGAGGACTGCAGTCAAAGCATAGTGGTCACATTTTCTGCAAACAGGGACAGGAGATATGAGTCTGAAGAGTCGTTCTCATCTCTCAGACCCCATGAAGAAAGACTGAACATTTAGATACTTTGTGGGAGAAATGTCACAAGAAATTAAAGTGACTTCTACATATCGGTCATTTTTTTTGTTGACAACTGTGCAGCCTTCTCTTTGTGTGTTTACACACAGGAAGTGGCAGGAAAGAGCACTGAGAGCAAAGAGAGAAATCTTAAACCACTTGGAAGATATACTCTGGCCTTTAGTTCACTGCAGCCTGCGCCTGGGCTGCAGGTGGGTCAGTTCAGCACCTCTTTTTAATTTAAAATAACTTTTTACCAGAGCCGCACATTTAATAATTTGTGCAGAACGAGGCTTTTAATTCTTAATATAAATAAATAAATAAATAAAAGGGGTTTCTTTAGAATTCTTGCAGGAAACAGTCTTTTTGTCCTTTTTTTTGTATGTCACAGGCCAGAAATGCAAGAACACAAGAGGTTTATGACAATAAATGAAATTAATTTACAAAGAAAATATGAAATATTTTATTCCTCCTGTTCGTAGTACAGTAAAAACAAATGCATTCCATCTACTTTTATTTTTAGGACATTTTCACGTTATTGCTTTGAGATGCATGTTGGACTGATTGGTAACTCTAAATTGTCTCTAGGTGCGAGTGAGAGTGTGAATGGTTGTCTCGTTTTGTCACCATGTGTCCCTGTGATGGACTGGAGACCTGTCCAGGGTGTCCACCACCTCTCGCACAGTAACTGCTGGATATGGGCACCAGTGACAGCCCCCCCCCCCCCCCCCCAAAAAGGAAAAAGCGGGTAAAGATAATGGATGGATGGAACATTGGCCAAAGTGAAAAAAAAAATAATTTACTCCATCCAGCTCCGACACACGGTGTGTATCACAAATAGCTGAAAAAGAAAAACCAAGCAGCCGAGGTTTGCCTCAGCTGAGTGGAAACAGAGGAGATAAAGTGTTTGTGCCTTGAATGTGTTTTGAGATTCGGAGGATGGAAAGAGTAAAACAAGAATGAGCAGAGCAGCTCGTTATCACACATGGAAAGTTGATCAGATATTAAATCGTTCAAACCACAAAAAGCTGAAGAACTTCGTCAAAATTTCTGATTGTCAAGTGTTACACAACCCTACGTTGATTTTGATTTCGAGATCAGTCCAGAACAAAGTGGTTCTGACTCGGTCCAGGTGCATCTGCGTCACTTCACAGAACCAGAAAGATCCTGAACAACTGTGGCCGTCACCTCTTGTTCGCTTCTCTTACTTTGATGTTTGTCTCATTTTTAGAGCAGCTGATTGGTTTGTTTTTTAGTTAAATATAGATCTGTCACAACAGCCGACATCACTCAGTCAGGAAATAAAATCAAGTGTGGTTGGAAACGATCTCACCGCGGTCACCTCACTTTTCCACTAACACAAGCAGCAGCACTTTCTGCTCCAAGAGGTTGTGTTCATTCAAACAGCCTCTGCCGTTTACACACGAAGAGTTAAAAAAGGTTAGGGGCAAATGAGAAGAGCAGACGTGTTGTGGTCTTGGAGCTTTATTCAGTAGTAATATAAATGAGCTGAATCAGCAGACAGTGAGAAGCTTGGCCCCACAGTGAGAGCAGCACTGTTAAACATTTCACATCAGATTCAAAACGTCACTGAATAATCGATTCAGCTGAACAAACACCAACACAGCGCAGGAGGAAAGAAACTCGGCGAGTTCAAATTTGAAAAAGAAGCACGGTGGGCTGGTGGTTCTCAAAGTTTTATCTTTTTGGAGGAACGGTTCGCAGTCAGGGTGGAGCGGTTCAAGTGAAAGTGGTGGAGGTGGGAAAACGTTGGGCACTGCTTGTTGCTGCTTTAAAGCAAAAAGAGGGAGATGAGAAGGATGCATTGCTGCAGGAATTACAGTAAATGGTAAGAATTAAAATGAAGTGTTGGGGAGTCTGAAAACTCCAACAGATTATATTTTATTAAACGTCATGCTATCACTCAGTGGAACATTACACTTGTCATATAAGTGCTTCTGAGTTTTGGACAAAGATGGAGATTACAAGGAAGCAGAAAAATCCCTTTCAGAAACTGGTAAATGACATCAGCCCTCTCTGATACAGACATGTCTGCCCAATTCCTGCTCAGACATTTGATTTGGGAACAAACTGAACTGTATTGTTCTTTTGAAAAGAACATTTGCCTTATAAATAGATTCATATCAGCTTTTATTACTGAGATAATATGAGCAGTATTTATATTTGTTAGGGTTTCTGTGCACAAATCAAATATTATGGTTTTAAAAAGATAATTGCACATTTTGTGTGTCCATATATTTTCATGAATTAGTTATTTTAGCAAAGTGCAGTTCTTATTTGTTCTTTGGAAAAAATAGAAAATAATTCAATTTAGAGACAAAATATTGAACATTTGTTTTCCTCCAAATGGGAGCCCGACACAAAACGTCTGAGAACCGCTGCCTTAGAGTATCGGGGGGCGACACGCAGCGAAGAAGGGTCTCACTTGGCTTCACTGTGCTATGCTAACGCTACGTTGTTGCGTTTGTCTCACATCACCTGCCGCCTGCAGGAACTTTTGGTGCCCTCTAATCGCACTGCTGTGTGTTTGATAATCAAAACAATAAATGACTCACCATAAGCAGAGCCACATGTAGAAGTAAAAAAACAACAACTTCTGAACACAAAGAGGATATCTGAACGGTGTGAAGAGGGTGAAAACTACGTGAAAATATAAATAAATACAAAATTAGACAGATGAGTCAATCTAAACATTTAAATATACAATATGTCTGCATGTAGTTATAGTTTCTGTTAGTAATGCAACTTTAACAGTATACAATATACTTTATTATATCATCTGTTAATACATTTCTTAGACCATCCTTTCCAACAACATGCCCCCTTGGCTTTGAGTTGCTTAGAAGATGGATGAGAGAGAAGAAAGGTGGACAGGGGACATAAATTACTACGATGAGAGGCAGAATTGGGGGGGGGGGGGGGGGTTTAGCATGAGACCTCCATGGTTTGGGGCCCGGTCTGGCTGCCGCCGCCCTCCAGAAGGCTGCTGATGTTGCTGCGGCTGCGGCTGCTCTCCATGGAGGTGATGCTGGAGGAGGAGGTGGTGCGTGAACGAGACAGGCGAGTCATTCCTGCTGCTGGCACTGAAAGAGGAGTGGGGGTGGGGGGGTGGGGGACCAAAACAACAAGCATTAATATTCTCCTCACACAGATCACAGACTCAGTGCCGGACTACATGTACAAGAAAACAACAGAAAACAAAAAGTGCTTATCGTGCAAATATTTCACAAATATACAAACTAATAAACAGATGTGTGACAGACTTGCTGAACGTATCCACTGGGGGAAAAAAAAACAACCAAAAACACACACAAGCAAAACAGAATATCAGCAGCAGCAGCAGGTCATGCAGCAGATTCAGACATGCTAACTGAGGAAACGAAGCTCCTACAGAGAAATGAATGTTTGAAAAATGGACCTGACTGAGCAACAGTTAAGTGTTTCAACACCCTGAGATGCTGGTGGAAACATCAAACAGAGAACCTTCTGCAAACATTGACATTCATTCTCTGTAGTGTTAGGAGGCCATTTTGGTTCAAAGCCTCCTGGTCAGACAGCTGCTCCACAGTCTGGTACCTGATTCGTTGCTCAGGTGACTGAGAAGAACGTAGGGAACTGCAGGCAACGATTTAAGAGGAAAAACAGGAGAGAGGGAGAGACGTGTGAAGGTCAAATCATTTCATGTATGCAAACTATTTTGTTTAATCCCTTTGACCCACTTCCCACTTCACAAAACATTTCTGCAAAAAGTGCATTGTGAAACCACAAGAGGTGTGGAGCAGAACTTAGCCAGGTTGATGATTAAAAGTATAACTACGTTTCCCGCTTATCGTTTTAAAAACAAGACTAATTAACTCAGTTTAAAGATCCTCTTTGTGGTTAACGTTTTTACTAGATACAAAGTTTCTGAGGGTCATCGTTGATCTACAGTAGAATAATTGTTGTTGTCACTTCATCACATTAGTAAATCTAAAAGCTATCTTACCTTTCCACACATGAGCTGTTTCAGCTCTATTACTACCTCACTTTTTGTGGAAAAGTGCATTAAGAGTGGGTTAGCTTCAACCCCCCTTGTCAGCTTGGTCCATCCAGTAATCACTCCAAGGCAGCAAGATGGCGTCTACATCCTGTTTAAATGTGAATGCTCTCCTGATATGAATTTCCAGGTGTTGATTGTAAAAACATTACAATGTGATTGCGTTGCCGTTTACTTGAGGCTGCAAAATCATTGAATCCACTGTAGCTTTTACGCTAGGTACTGAGCTAGTGATGTGGTTTTAGCATTTTAGACACTTCAACAGTGTATTTTAGTCATCCTTCTTCGTCTTAAAGACCTGCACAGTTTTTGTATAATGTGAGAAATGTGTCCGCTGATGGATGATGTGGCCCAAACGTTTCGTGTCAGAAGCTCTGATAAATAAAAACAGTGATCAGCACAAACAGGACTCATTCTCTGTTACTGTTGTTGATCAAGTTCAAGTCGAGTTTATCGTCACTCATATCACATGTGGTACATGAGGTGGAATGAAATTATGTACTCAGGGTCCCATCTAATGCACATGTGCAGAGTAACTATTGACTGACTGTGACCGTAGTGTGCATGTGCCAACACTCGCACTTCCAGGTCAGTTGTGTTTATCTGTGAAACGAGGCAGGGAGTTTTGAAAAATACTTTCACTCTTGAGACGTATTTAAAGTTTTGGCATCAGAAAATCCAATTCCTGTTGTTGTGTACAGAAACAGAAGCAAAGCAACAGAAAAGTTCTGATTTCACCTAAAAACAGTGTTGTGTAAACTGGGCCCAAGTCCTGGCGTAAAGAGTTTTGTGAAAGTGCCTACGGTAGAAACAGTTTAATAAGAGAAAAACAGCTTTCATGAGCATGTTGAGGTGTTAAGTTTTATTTTCCTCACTTTTCTGCATGAAAACACCTTTTTAATCTGCTCTAATCCTGCAGTGGCATTTGCTCTACAGGGGAGCTTGCTGGCCTTTAAAGCAGTCCAGCTCCACCCTAAGGTGCCTCCTGCAGCGAAGGGTTTGAGAGCAACAGAGAAGTGGCATTAAAGAAATTCACACATGGATAAATGTTATCTGTGTGAGTGAGGCAAGCACATCTACAATCATGATGCTACTCATCCATGGTTCAGTCAAATTGTTCAGTTTTCATTCTTTTTAAATGAATGGCTGCGAAACCTGGAGGCCTGTTTAACTATGCAGCTCAAGTCTTCTTTAAAACGGAGCGCACAGTAAACAGTTCTGATAGAAAAGAAAAGCACACCAGGAACCACAAAAGAGCAATTTTTAACGCCCACTCTAATACTGAACAGGAAGAAAACCGCTGTTCAGCACATCGAGTATCACTGTCATTTCAGTCATGCTATAAGCCCTTTGTCTCACCTACTGCGAGCTGTGAGTACCACACGCTGCAAAGAGCACAGAGGAAATGCTGTTAGAGTTAACTGGGTCCCCAAAGGCTGCTCGCCATGACCAGGCTTAGAAAAAAAACATTCCTTTTCATGCACAAGTGGCCACAGTCCAAACCCTCCCATCAGCTTGGGGTGTTCAGCAACAGATCCCAGTGAAAACAACCCTGGTTTCAGTATCTTTTGTAATTGCACTCACGTCAACAGGAAACTCAGAGAAGAACAAAGACCAACCTGGACCACAAAAACGTCATCCCAGAGCGGCTCAAGGCTGAGTGGTCGCTTTGTCAGCTTGTTTAAACCAGAGTTAATCTATATTTAAACGTTTTTAGATCGTAACCACATAAACCACACAGATGTTTACTTACTATATCCCATGCCCTGAACAAAGTACTTGAATGCCTCAGCAAGCTTCCCAGGCTGCAAGAACAGAAAAACGCGTCAATAAATTTACACAAAAAATAGCTTAACATATGCATTTTCAAAAGTGGGAAAACCAACCTGCACGACTTGAGGCAAACCTCCACAATCCGCCATCTAAAAGGAATATTATAGAGTTTACTATTATGATGGTCAAAATATGAGCATGATTCATCTGAAGCAAGTGTGGAGTTTTTCACCTTTAGCAAAGTAGTCTTGGTGGGGTTTAATCTGGAGTTGCACTCCACCTGAAACAGAAAAGAGACAATAATAAAAAAAGTTAAATAAATTACCTTTGTGGGTCACACATGATTTTTGGAGGATTTTCTGTGACTGATGTAGTGTAAACTCACCACAGCCTCAACGGCAGGTGAAGTGTCACCGACCACCAGCAGGGCATGGCATCTGGAGAAGACGACAGGTAAACAACAATATGTCACAGCAAGCAACCAAGAAGAAAATGCACAAGGTGTTCGTATCATCCTGGTCTCAGAACCTACGTGAGTGTGTTAACAATGTCCTCATTTTGACCAACGATGGGCCTCTCGATGTCAAGGTCTCGACGGCTGGTGACAAAAGAATATTCTGTCAATGAAACTAAAACAGTGACAGTTGATCAAAAAATCTGGTAACTTGACAAAAACACTAATTCAGCATCAGCTTTAGCTGTGAAATTAGATTTGGCCTAATCCAAGTACCATATTTTCTGGCGTATAGGTCGCAGTCTTTTTGCATAGATTTGTCAGTACTGCGACATACGCTGAAGTGACTTATACGTTTTTTTTTTTTTCCATATTCATAACGCAATTTTTGACTGATGCTTTAAATTTCGAAGAACTGCAACAACGAGTCCTCCTGTGCCCGCTCGCTTCACTCAGCTGGTGCAGGCGGAGGAACGCTGGAGAGCTAGCTGCTCCGGCCACAATAGATGGATGGATGGCGCCGCACCACTCAGGCAAAATGAAGCTGTTTTGACCATTAAAGTGCATTTTTTAAAGAAAAGTTAAACTCAGACACACCTTTGCTACAATGTCAAGCAAATAATGATTGTTTTTCAGTGTTAATCTTGTTCAATTTCTAAGAACTGCAACAGCGAGTCCTCCCGGGCACGCTCGCTTCACTCAGCAGGTGCAGACAGAGGAACGCTGGAGAGCTCGCAGCTTTTACCACGATGGATGGATAGATGGATGGATGGATGGACGGACGGACGGCGCCGTCCAGGCAAAATGAAGCCATTTTGACCATTCAGTAAATACATAATAAATGCGAATTATAAACGTTTTTTGCCTCTTCATGCTTTTTTTGACTGATGCTACTTATACTCCGGAACAACTTACACGCTGGAAAATAAGGTACTGGAAACACCTGAGCGGTATGAAAGTTGTCAACAATTCATAAAAAACGGAAAGAAATTTCACTTTCTGCTTAACCCCCGACCCCCCCATAAAAATACTGCTGCTTCTCACTATTGGTATGAGCTGCAAAACTGTGCCAGGTTGTTCTGGTTGATGTCTTGGGCGATGTGGAGGCGGTAGGTCTGGATCAGCTCCTGGTTCTCTGTCAGCTCATCCTGAAGAACAGACAAGAGTTGAACTGATCTAAATAAAATATCAATCTGATCGACATGTTAGATAAATGATAGATTTCAGGAAGTCATGTATGAACTGCTAAAGGAGGTTTCAGTTAGCACTACTGATCCAGACAAGCAGCATCTTTATGGTACTGTGTTCAACATGGCCCAATCTACTAGTCTAGATATTCTGAAGGACAGGGAGAAACAATTAGCTGTAATAAGACGGAGGGATGAGAGATACCAAGGGAAATCAAGAAAAGCCTTCTGGGGTTCAGCCGCTATCTCACTTTAAAAAAAAGGGTCGGCAGCACCAAGAAAAAGGGCGAGTACTCACGGTGCTGAAGTGGTGGGCCATGACGATGTCCACCAAGTTACTGGTCCACCCAGACAGCTGCACATCAGAGGACACACAAACAAGAAGAGACTAACTTCATGACTGGGGCTTACACTTTTTAAGCTTTGCTTGTGTAATCAAAGAAGCTACATTTAACTTAGGGAAGTGTTAAAGAGGCATTTTGAAGTGGGGTTCTGTGTAAAAGTTATGAACATTGAATATCTTACCTGATGAAGATAACTCTGAACAACCTCAGTGGAGCTTACATCCAACAGAACAGACGAGCTAAAGGCTGGACCAAAGTGGGCTGATGTCGCCTTAAAACAACTCCAATCCAATGTTTTCACGAGGTTCATGAAAACATTATTTTATAAACCTTTACACCCCTGTCAAATTACACAGTATTTACATGAAATACTACAGTTATTAACAAGCACAAATATCATCAGCAGAAGCAGCTGCAGCACTTCCAGGGCAGCCTGGGGCACCACCATCAGGAATTTCATTATCTCTGACAAAATAACTGCAGTATGAATCTGGCAGCAACATAACTGTTTAAAAGTGTTTACAGGAACCACTTTAAATATTTACATCAAAGCTGTTTGAAGATGTTACAATCTGCAAGGTGAACGTGGGTCTGGTATGATCTACTGAAGGCTTCACTATGCAGACACTATTATTTAAACCTGTACACCACATTCCCTTTTCTATTACACGGTTATTTTAGCTGAACTATGATGATAACGAAAATTAATAATAATAATAATAATAATAATAATAATAATAATAATAATAATAATAATAATAATAATTTATGATGATAATCTGCTCAGTCTTAAGGCCACACTAAAAGTTGGCAGCACAACGGCTCAGTGGTTAGCACTGTTGCTTCACAGCAAGAATGTCGTGGGTTCAATCCCCGATTGGACCTGGGGTCTTTCTGTGTGGAGTTTGCATGTTCTTCTCGTGCATGCGTGGGTTTTCTCCAGGTACTCCAGTTTCCTCCCACAGACCAAAAACGGGCATGTTGGGCTGCCTTCAGGCCCAGGTCTCCCTTGCTAAAGAGATCTGTGATCTCAGTTCAGTTCAGTTTATTTATTTAGCACCAAGTCAAAACAGAAGTCGTCTCAGGGCACTGAACAGAAACATTCATATTTAAAAATAATAATTTTACATTATTTATCTGAGGAGCAGATTGGGAAGTAATGGGATTTACCTGGTTAAATAAAAGGTTAATAAATAATAAATAAAAGTGCTATAGCTAGCAGCTGCTGCCCCTGCCATTTGTGCTTGTACAGTTAATACCATAGGTTTACATACACTAGTTAAAAAGACACACATGCATTGTTTTTGCATCGACGTGAAATCAGAATAAACTTTTCCCATTAAGTCAATTAGTATTACCAAATTTTTTTCTATTTGCGAAATGCCAGAATAATGAGTGTGAGAATTTTTTAAGGCAACTGTTATTACTTTATTCAAAGTCAAAAGTTTAAATACACGAATATTACCATGCCTTTAAACAATTTGGAACATTTGATGTCAAGTCTTAGGAAGCTTCTGATCGGTTTATGGATAACATCTGAGTTAATTAGAGACACACCTGTGGATGTAATTTAAGGAACACCTGAAACACTTCTTCCTTGTGTAACATCATGGGAAAGTCAAAAGAAATCAGCCAACATTTCAGGAAGAGAATTGTGGACTTGCACAAGTCTGGTTCATCCTTCCAGATGCCTGAAGGTGCCTCGTTCATCTGTACAAACAATTATACTCAAGTACAAACAAGATGGGAATGTCCAGCCATCATACCGTTCAGGAAGGAGACGGGTTCTGTGTCCCACAGATGAATGTGCTTTGGTCCGAAATGTGCAGATCAACCCAAGAAGAAAAGAAAAGACCTGGTGAAGATGCTGCCTGAAGCTGGTAAGAGTGTGTCATTATCCACAGTGAAACTGTATCGACATAGTCTGAAAGGCCACTCCACCAGCAAGAAGCCATTACTTCAAAAGAAATATAAAAAAGACAGATTAATGTTTGCAAATGGACACAGGGACAAAGTCCTTAACTTTTGGAGACATGTCCTGTGGTCTGACGAAACTAAAACTGAACTGTTTGGCCATAATGACCCTTGTTACATTTGAAGGAAAAAGCCTGAAAACACCATCCCAACTATGAAACACGGGGGTGGCAGCATTATGTTGTGGGGTTGTTTTGCTGCAGGAGGGACTGGTGTACGTAGATGGCATCATGAGGAAAGAGCAAGACATCAGCCAGGAAGTTAAAGCTTGGGCGCAAATGGGTCTTCAAATGGACAATGAGCCGAAGCGTACTGCCAAACTGGTGACTCAAGGAGAACAAAGTCAATGTTTTGGAGTGGCCATCACAAAACCCTGATCTCAATCCTATCGAAAATTTATGTGCAAAGCTGAAAAGGCATGTGTGAGCAAAACAGCCTCCAAACATGGCCCAGTTCCACCAGTTCTATAAGGAGGAATGGAACAAAGTTCCTGCCAACTACTGTTAGAAGTTTGTGGAAGGAGATCCAAAACGTTTGACCCAAGTCATACAAGGGCCAAGGTACCAAATACTAATGAAGTGTATTTAAACTTTTGACTTTGAAGAAAGTAATAAAAATTGCCTTAAATTCTCACTCTGGCATTTCACAACTAGAAAAATGTTAGATAATTCTAATTGACCTAAAATGGGAAAAGTTTATTCTGATTTAATGTCAGAAAGTATGAAAAAAATGCATGTCTTTTTAAATAGTGTATGTAAACTTCTGGTTTCAACTGTAAATAACCACAATATTTCAAGTAAATAAACGACAAAAAAAAAAAATCACAATGTAAATATTCATTAAAGAGCATTTGCATGAACTGCTGTGAAATTTTGGAGAAAGAAGTTGTTTAAAGACCTTATCAACCCACTCTGATCATGGCGGTGTTTGGACGAGTCATTTGCTCTTCAGTTTGGTCAGAATTTAACTCCGTTTCTCTAAACCGAGTTCATTCAAAGATACATTTACATGTGATATTTTAATGGCTTACAAATTTTACACAGAATCCCACAATAAAATGGCCAAAATATCCCATCAAGGAACAAGTTGTTCTGGCAGCAGTTTTCACTTCCTTTTTTCTGTCATTGTGTATCTAAAATAAAAAGCTCCATCCTACTGCACAAATGAATTTACACAAAAGAAGTCAGAGTAAAACAGAAACACACCCTTTCAAATTTTAGTTAATACAAGATCCTTTACATATTTATTTCTTCTTTCTTTTTTTATTATATTGCCACAATTTGTCACATACAGTAACTAGATGCTACTTTTTATCATGATGTTCATGTTTCACTAGAAAAAGTTTGTGCATCTGCAGTTAGTTTACTGGTCAGTAAATATATTTTAACATTCAGCTGCATGAGACAACGACATGGAGTAAAGTCTGCAGTGTGTGCGTTTGAGCTCTGCTGAAGAAGTGCAGCTAAATAAACATTTTTCATTCATCTATGTGGTATGCAGGAAAGGCAATGTGATTTGGAGACTTATTTTTATTTCTATGGAGCGGTGAGCTGTGCTCAATTCTTTTGCTACGACCCATCTAATGAAAACATTTAGTTTGTGCAGTCAATACTATTTTTGAGTGTTTTTGTGCCAGCATTTTTCCAGAGCCAGTGCTGAGTCCACATGCAGGATGCAGCTGGTCAGCTGGACACACACATATTCAGGACTCACGCACACACTCAGTGGGAAGTAAAGCAGTGTTTTCTTAACTGCACCCATGAAAAAAATGAAGCTGAATCATTGTCACCTTTGAGCAATAAAATCATTAACAGTGACATGAAGGAGACAGACGAAATTAAGTGGCATCCAGAACTAATGGAAAAATGTTGCCCATTTCTCAGGGAAGTGACACACAGCACCTCCCTAAAGTTATTTTTGAACAGGTGTGTGTGTGTGGTCGAGCTGCAGCGTGATGCAGTTATAGCTCAATATCAGTAAAACTGACAGAGTTATAGTCCTTTTTGTGTTAAGTTTAATTAAAAGAACATACTGTGAAGCAGGCAACATTTTTATATTCTTAACTTGTTAATGGCAGTAACGTCATGTTCAGGGAATCAGAACATTTTGAAAAGCCACATTGGACAAACACATTTACTCCTGACATGTTGAGAGAAAAGTCACGGGTGTGGTTTTGGTTACAATAGTTTTCCAGGTCTACAGTGAAGTTTTAATCCTGACCTTTGATGCAGCCCAGTCAATCCAGCCTTCAGCGCACGGGTCGACGTTGATCAATACCAGTCCCTCCACAAGGCTGGGGTTTTTCAGCTAGGAGACAAAATGGACGTCAGTAAAAGGAAAGAAGTTTAATAATTTAACAGGTAAGGGCGTCTGTGTAAGATGCTGGGGTGGGTTATAGTTTTAAGAGAACAAATGAGCTTTCATATAAAACAATCCTTCTAAGTGAGTTCATCTTAGCAAGTGGACAAAAATTGTGATAATTTAGAAGTAGACATTAAAAAGCTTGTTTCCTTAAGGCCGTATCTCTGTGCGTTTCACTTAACAGGACAAACCTACAGATAAAACGTATTAAAAGTGAAGTTTCTCTGTTGGTTTAAATGAGGACACGAAGGATTGGAGGTGGAGTTGAAGGCTTCTGGATTAAGGGTGTGGCTCTGAAATTGCCTGAAGGCAGAAAAAGGATGTCTGGGGAAATAAAACATCCATCTCTCTGAGTGGTGAAGGAGCGCTGCGGATGCTGCTTACAGCTCGATACAAACGCAGTGCAGCACTCTTTGCTCTCAGTCTATCGCAGACAAACTCATTTATTTCCTAAGCTGTTAAAACAAATAAACTTCAGAATCAATTTTTCCACATTAGTTATAAAGAAGAGCAGCAAATCCTCAGAGAGGCCACTGTTGCTATTTTTTCATATGCACTCCTCTCGTTTTATTATTAATCTCTTCTCTCTGCCACGTCCAGAGCTTTCTATGAGATTGTAACTGTTTTAGCTCCACTAAGAAACAAGACAAACGCAACCAAAAAAGGAGGGAAACTTCAAGGTGATTCATCATGGAGTGAACGACAGAGAGGCTGCAGAGCAACTTGATGCTGTGCGAGTATAATGGGAGGCTTTATAACAAGCCATAGGGTCTAAATCCTTTAATTATTGCAGGCGAGACACGGCGTGGGTCAAAAAGACCAAAACAAATGAAATGATAGATAATGAGCTGTTGGGGGCTCACAGCAAAGCGGGTAAGGATGTAGGCTCCGGCTCCCACACCAATGCCGATTACGCTGGTCACCCTAAAGAGGCAAAATGAGCAGTTACTGTGGCACTGAAGATGAATTATCAAAGCTCTTTCATCACATCAAAGCAGCTACCAATGTGTGTGTGTGTGTGTGTGTGTGTGGGGGGGGGGTTACACTCACTTCAGCTGAGTCATCACAGAGGGCAGCATTTCGGCCAGCTCGTCCATGGTTGGGTAACGGTACCTGGACACAGATGTGAACCCATGTGAGCTGAGAGACTAACTGCAGGAACTGAGTTCATCATAAATTGAAATAGTCAAAGAAGTTCAATAACATACTGAGTAACTGAAATGTTTCCATTAGCTAACGAACTCAGAAATAAATCTGCTCCCGTTTCTCAGCACATGGACAAGCTCTGCGCTGCTCACCCTGTGGGGAATGGAGGAGCCCCCTCCTGCTGACCGGGAGCGTCCACGTGAACCACAGCAAAGTGCTGGGTGATCTCCTGCATGTCCTCATAGTTGAACAGGGTGTTGAAGCAGGACTTGTCTAAAAACACGGGGGTACAAACATGAGCGTGCTAGAGGGCTGCTGCACAAACCCTGGATACATTAAGAGATTAAGCTGGGAGTTCCTGGTTATCCCAACATATAATTTACCATGGAGATACATTCTGTGAAGTTAGCTTGGTCTGAAGATTAACTAAGCCAGGTTTAGATAACCCTGCAGTTTGTTTTCATGACCCAGTCAGGAGTCACCCTGTTAGAAAAATGTAATAATTATCTAACACTTTGTATTTCATCCAATTTTGCTTCGTTATTAAGTATGTATCCTTAAGATATTATTACTAAATTCACAAATTAAAATGTAATGTGATTTACCTGAACTGAGCCAATGAAGAAAAAAAATGAACATTTTCTACAAGATAAAAGTTGGGATGTGAAACAGAGGTCAGTCCTTTTATAAAGACATACGTTTTTGTCACAGTAGGTAAAAATAGCTTAGACATTTAAGTCTATACAACGTAGTTGTTTTAGAAAGCAAGCAACTTAAATTCAGATATAAATTTGAGTTGAAAGTGTACATGTTACTTAAGAAAATTAATCTAATAAAAAGATTCATCTTTAAAATATTTATAGAGACCACTGCCAAACTTTTATCAGGTACAGTTCAGTGTTAGCAGTTTCTGATTTTCTCTCCATGATTCACAAGGCAATAAAAAATATTTTAACAAGTTAAATACTTAACTGATGCTAGAGAGTAGAAATGCAATTTAAGGTATCCCCTCCCAAACCCATCCATTACATTCATAGTACAAGTGTAATGGTTTAACCTCTGAAACACAGCCCTCACACTGCAGTAATGTTTTCACTGCTGTAAAAAAGTATTAGTTAAAAAAAAAGAATAGATGTTCAAACTGTTTGGCCCACAATGTAAGGTGCTATTTATAAGACTGATTTTGTTGTGGCTCCTTGGACCGATGAAGTCTTTTGGATTAAAGACGAAACGTTTCAATAAAAACAAACTGTCCAGACTAGAGGAACCTGACTTAACTTTGTTGGAAGAATAGATGTCAGTTCTGCTTTAAAGAACTCAGTTCACTTATTTGTTCACAATATCCATCATTATCTATGGCTCATAAAAAAAAAAAAAACCTTTTTAAATTAGCATCAGATAATCTATCATCGACCTCATGGTCTTTTGAAGACAGCGGTGGTGCACTCAGCAGCATTACTTTAAGCTGGCTTGATTTAGCTGCTCCATTTCAGCTAGACTTTTGGATTAATCAGTTCTACTTTTGTGAAACAGACCCTTGAAGTTTAAATCTCCAAGGATCTTGAGAATTTGGATGGTAGAAGTAAAAAACAAAAAAAAGTCTGGTGTTTGAGACTGTTGTGCGCTGTTGGACACGTTCCTGTCTGACTCACGGTTGAGGCCGATGTCGTGATAGGTGAGGATGACGGGTCTGTTGCCCTTGGGAACGCCTCTCATCGTCACATGGAGGACACCATGTAGAGTCTCGATGTCATGCTCCTGCAAGCAAAAAGAAGAAAAATAGTTTAGGAGCAGAGGAACAAGACCTAAGGTGTGTAAAGAGAAGGGGAGACCAGATAAAGGTTTGTGTCAAATTTTAGAATTTATGATTTTAAAACAATTTAAAGAAACAACATGCACATCTTGTGGTAAAGAAATTGTTTACACAGCTGATATGAATATAATTTAAATCATGTAAAAAATTAATAATTTATGATGATTGTAAAATTAATAAACTACAGTTTGTTCAGTGGTGACTTTTTGTTAAACCAACCACTAGGTAGCACAAGCCAGTGTATCTCTTGTGCCGGTCCCAAGCACGAGTAAATGTTGAGGGTTGTGTCGGGAAGGGCATCTGACGTAAAACACCTTTGCCAAAATTATAACGAGAGTTCATCTAAGAAACATCATACCGGATCGGTCAATGACTGCTACCAGTGCTGTTGACAAACCGGGTGCCGGCGGAAATTGTGCTGCTGTTAGTCGAAGACCACGAAGAGGGAAACGTGTCAGGAGACAGAGGGAGAAGAGGAAAGTGAAGAATGTAGGACTGAGGGTTGCAACTTTAAATGTGTGGACAATGACAGGCAAAGGTGTAGAGAAAGAATGTAGATGTATTTTGAGTCCAAGAGACCAAATGGAAGGGCTGCAAGGCTCTTAGCACAGGTACAGTGTTTAAATTGTTTTAACAAGGTGTGGATAGAAAGAAAAATGGAGTAGAGGTGGTCCTGAAGGAGAAGTTGGCAAATAATGTAGTAGAGGGGAAAAGAACAGGGTGATAAGATAGGGTGAGGTGCATGAAGGTAGAAGTAGAAGGTCTGATGCTAAATGTTGACAGTGGTTATGCTCCACAGGTTGGATGTGATGCAGAGGAGAAAGAGAAATTTTGGAAGGGTATGATGAAGTTAGAGAGGATTCCCAGGGAGGAGAGAGTGGTGATCGGAGTAGATTTGAATGGACATGTTTGTGAAGGAAACAGAGGGGATGCGGAAATGATGGGTAAGGTTGGTGTCAAAGAAAGAAACCAGGAAGGACAGATGGTGGTGGATTTTGCCAAGTGAATGGAAATGTCTGTAGTCGACACTTGTTTCCAAAGGAGAAGAACAGAGTGACTTATAAGAGTGTAGGAAGGAGTACACAGGTCGACTACATTCTGTGTAGAAGAGGAAACGTGAGGGAGATGTGGAACTGTAAGTTTGTGGCAGTGGAGAGCGTGGCCAGACATCATCGGATGGTTTTGTGTAGAATGAGTGTTGTTGTAAAGGAGACAAAAATAGTCAAATCAGAGAAGAAGAACAAATGGTGGAAGCTGAAGAAAGAAGAATGTTGTGAGGAGTAAAATCTCCAGTATACTCGCGCGTCCTGTCAACTGTGCGCACCGTCCGCAGACAGTTGAGACTTCATACTCGACCGTTCACCAAAATCGGCTGCTGTCAGATCCACAGACAAGGGGCGTTTACCTTCGGGAGAAACTGAGGTCGCCGATTGGTCATTTGCCGACAGGCCTACTGGATTGATTGACAGGTCGCAAAAAAAAATAAAATAAAAGAGAGCAGGCAGAAAGCCTCAGCGGTTTTCTGTGTTAATATGTTGTTAATAAAGAGTTCTTAATAATAATAATAATAAAAAAATAAACAGGGAGTGCTGGCCCTGCAGCTCACACATCAAACCAGCCCACAAGGAAAACCTTCCCACAGCCACGCTGGACCTGATTTTAATTTGCTTATGACAAATTCCTTCATTGCTCACAATTTCAGTCATGGCGTCAACGGACGAGGAGGAAGAGATCGCTTGGCTCTTGGCAAAAAAACAAAAGAAAAGACCATTAAACCAGATCAGGGATGAAGAAGGGGAATTTAATACATTGGTGTTGCATACAAAACAGTCCGTCGCCGGGCAGTTTATTGTGCGACAGAGTACGCGGTTGTAAAAATTGAGCTTTGCATGGACATGCCCTGCGGGCGTCCGCTTAGACTCTAATCTGGTACGCGTGGACTTACGCGGACTGAAGTACGTGCAGCTATACAGGAGGCTTAAGAAAGAGCTTCCAGGTGACTGGGCTACTACAAAAACAGTAATTAGAGAGACAGGTAGGACGGTACTTGGGTGTGTTATCTGGACAGAGAATGGATGATAAAGAAACCTGGTGGTGAAATAGTGAAGTGCAGGAAGATATTTACAGAAAGAGTTTAGTCAAGAAGAAATATGACAGTGAGAGGACTGAAGAGAGACAGAAATATAAGGAGATGCAATGTAGAGCAAAGAGGGAGGTAGCTAAGGCAAAGCAGACAACATATGAAGAGTTGTATGGGAGGCTGGACACTAAAGTGGACGAGAAGGACTTGTACCAATTGGTGAGACAGAGGGATCAGGCTGGAAATAATGTGCAACAGGTTAGGCTTGTTAAAGAGGTCATAAAAGCTGTGGACCAGGAAGTGGGAAAGATTAGTGAGGGTGAAGTTTGGGAATCTCTGAAAAGAATGAAGAAGGATAAGGCAGTAAGACCTGATGAGTAAGACCAGTGGAGGTTTGGAAATGTCTTGGAGACATGGCAGTGAGGTTTTTGACTCAAATATTCAATGGCATATTTGAGGGTGAGAAAATGCCTGAGGAATGGAGAAGAAGTGTGCTGGTGCCCATTTTTAATAAGTTGATGAGTCACACAATGAAGATCTGGGAGAGAGTTGTGGAAGTTAGACTTGGACGAGAGGTGACTAGTTGTGAGCAGCAACATGGCTTCATGCTGAGAAAGAGCACCACAGATGCCATCTTTGCTTTGAGGATGATGATCAAGTACAGAGAGGGTCAGAAAGAATGTCATTGTTCTTCTGGCCCAGAGACAAACATTCCAAAACACCAACCCTTCATCTGAGGTTTATGAAATATGCACCTTTTGTGTCCTGAGCCTTTGAAGAAACAAAGCGCTAAACTCTTTAAATGTGGAAAAAGACAACTGTTAAAAACTCTGAAACTGCTTCCCAGTGTGACTCTGTGAGAATGCCAGCATCGTTCGTTTTAGCTGAATGTGTTTGCAAAGACCCATTAAAATTCAAAGAGAGCACACCAGCATTCTTCATTCCATCACTTGACAATTAGAATTTCTCCACAGAAGCTCTACATTCGTACGTCTCAGACTGTATTGCTGCAAAGGAAATGGCTTAAGAGTAAAAATGTCAATCATCAGATTAATGAGCAAAAAATTTCAAATATTCCAGTGCTGTAAAATTATGGATTATAGTGTAGCAAAAGCAAGCTAAATCTTGTACTGTTCATGGAAATTAGTGAAATGTTTGGAAGTAGCAAAAAAAGATAATAAAAATAAATAAACAAATGAGTAAAAATCACACATGAACTACACAATGTGACAGTTTCCAAACCTCTCAAAGAATCATAATTTTTTCAAACAACCACACAACTTTCCTTGGTCATGATGATTGAGTGCTGCAGACAGCAGTGGGCATACTCTTACACATCTGTGTGTGTGACCTGTACAGACCAGTGGGTGGGGCCCTCCAGTGCACCTCATCTCAGGCCAGTTGGTCATCAATAATAAAAACAGCAAGCACATGCACATTATATAACATGTTACGAAAGAGTGTGATTTTGATGGTACACCTGTTTCCTGCTGTTTCATGTGACAGACAAGTGGCACAAGCTCTTCAGATTAAATTAAGGCTAAATCCAGATGACATGGTGGCAGTGATTATTTGTATTGGCAGTCTATAAAGGACATGGCAACATGAGAGGAAAGCTGCTCACCCTGAACGCACCAGAATGAGATGTTTTCACTTGAATGGGAGTTGTACACAGATTAGCTTGTCACAAGAATCAAGTACATATCACAAGCAGGAATGTGTGGCAAGTTAAGTGCTACTGAATATTATTGCTCTTTCAGAGACCCAACTCTGGCAGACAAGAAGATTTGCACTCATATGGAGCTCTTTCACAGACAATAAAATGGTCTGCTGGGGTGACAAAACAACCTGTTACACAGAACCAGAGGAATGTTCTGCGCCTATGTTGCTGCAGAATTTTCTTTTTCAGACAAGGGCACACTCAAGGACACGCTACAAAATCAAGATATAAACACTTTGCTTTGTGTCATGTGTGTGTGTGTTTATGTGTGTGTGAGAGCAATTGTGCATCGCATTGTGAAAAGGCACGAGGGCATGCACCCCAACTGTGATATGAAATGAGAACATTCACGAGAGGAAACTGAACAGAGATGGGACCAAGGGATAGAAAGTCTGGAAGTGAATGAGAGGAATCAGAGCGTGAAGACGGCAGCAGAGAAAAGATGGGAGACTTCATTTTACAAAATCCTAAAGCAAATAAAGGCAGAAGATAATGAGAGGAGACAAGTCTTCTTTATGTCCATGTGCTGTATTGATCCATGAGTCTGATTTCTTTTGTGGACAAATGCACAAATAGATTTGAGGCATGAGATGAAAACACACATGGGGTCATGTAGCTTGTCTCAACAGAAGAACAGTTTAAAGGAGGGCAACATTCATACTCATGACATACGCCAAAAAAAAAAAAAAAAAAGAGTCTGTGCCTTAAGATATGACATTGAGGATGTTTCCTGGTGCAAAAAGAGTGATGAAAAATGTGGAACGCACAGTCTACTTTTACCTGCATGATATTAATACCACCTTTCCTTCTCTCCTTGCCCTGCATCAGTCACGGGACAGAAGTGCCAAGCAGTCAGTAAATGACTTGCATAAACATGTGCACGCTCAGTGTATATTCTCCAGCGCTATCACCTCATCTCTGACAACAACACAGCCCTTCAATCTGCAGTACACACATGATAAATGTGTGCCATACAAGCAGTGAGGTGAAACTACAAACTCAAGGTCTCTGCAGGGAGAAAAAACAGCCAGCACAGTGGTTTTTGATGTGTTGTTGCCTCAGCATGCACTAGGAGTGACCTGCCTCCCTGCCGGTTTACACTGAGCTAAATAAAAGAACACAAATGCACATTTACTAATCACTGGGCAAAATACAGACAGTTACAGCGCCAGGAAAATGTACCCTAAGACACACGGCTACAGGCACTTGTACACAACACATGTGCATATTTCATGTTACATTAAACATGCACCACACCCCTGGATAAGTTTAGGTTGAACAGACTGCACATTTGGGCACTGTGTGACCTGTAGGTGCACGTACAAAAAATAAAAATAAAAAAAGAGCACCTACTTCCTGCAGATGCCCAGAGAGGGGGGGTGGAAACTCTAACAAGAAAACCAGGAAAGGTCCCAGCACCTAACAGATTGCCTTTGGGAGAAACTGCATGCCAAAACAACCCTGAACCTCCTTGCTGCAAAGACTCAACCAAGTGCGTCGAGTCAGAGCCATTTGCCACTCACCACTTCATTCCCAGTGCATGAAATCTGCTCCAGGTCCAGAACAGTTGACATGTTTTAGCCACACAGCAGAGAAAGTGTGTTATGCTATGTGCAAGCGTGCGCTAGGCAGCTCTGAAGATCTCCAAAAGCAGGAGGAGGAGGGAGGGAGCTTTAGTTGGAAAGGAGGGATGTAGGGTGAGGCAGGCAGAGCAGCAGCAGTGACAACAGAGGATGAGAGGAAGCAGTGGAGGAGACAGAGGGAGCAAGAAGGAGATGGAGTAAACAACTTGAATGTAAGGAGAAGGGGCGTGGAGGGAGGGTGGATATGATGCAGAAGGAGCAAGAGAGACGGACGGCAGGAAAAAAAGGCAGAGGAACAGGAGCAGCAGCAGCAGGAGGAGAGTGAGACTGCAGTTTGTGCTTGGTAGTCACAGCGCGTTCGTGCATTCAGCCACTGGTGCATCTAATTGGATTGCAGAGGGTCAGGTGGGTAGAGGGAGAGGGTGGGGCTTCAAGGAGAGGAGGAGGGGAGGGTGGTTGAGTGGAAGAGGGGTGACGAGGTGCAGAGGATGCAAAAGCAGTCCAAGAAAACGGGCAGTCTGCTGACGTCACTCTGTTATTGATGAGGAGGAGGCTGACATTGACAGCTTATCCTGGGCTGTTTCTGCATCAGCAAAATGGCTGCACATGCACATTACACAGCACCACTGACCGAGTCCACCTTCTGAAGGAAGGAATGGGAATATTCTCAACTTCTGAATAATGATAGTGTGAAAGGACACAATCTGGATGAGAGTGAGGCATCAGAGAGGACTACAGTTAAATACAGCTTTGTAGCAAAAACAAAGTCATTCTACAAAAACTACATCTGGTAAATCATTACAAATTATCTTCTATGGAAGACTCTGCTCATGTTCCAGTCTGACCAGAAAAAGGAAACACATCATATGTGATATTTTCTCCACATGATCAGAATCTATGAAGACTACATTTTCTGCTGAAGTCATCCATATCAGTGATTGATCGGTCCCTTTTCCACCCTCCTATGCTAGCTGCTACAGGGCAGGGCATCTTGATTTTATCTGACAGGTGGCTCTGAGCAGCCAATGGCACAGCAGTACAGACGGTGGGAGTTTAAGAACGAGGGGCTTCGTTGGTCGATCAGTGTTATCAGCATGTTTGGTTGTAATCTGTTTCCACATGGGCTGTTTCCCATCCTGACCCACAGAGGGCGCCAGCTATACACATGAACAAAATAATAAAGGAATACAGATTTTTAAAAAATGGATAGAATGATTTTAAACATTTTGAGCATTAGGAAAAATAGCTCCCCTATTTTTTTTATGTCTACAATGTTTGCCTTTTTTGCAGCCATTATATCTAGCTCAGTAAGAACTGAAACTGTACACTGCACTGATAAATAATACAAACAGGATTCCAAAAAAGTTGGGACACTAAACAAATTGTGAATAAAAACTGAATACAATGACATGGAGGTGCCAACATCTAATATTTTATTCAGAATAGAACACAAATCACAGATCAAAAGTTTAAACTGAGAGAATGTATCATTTTTAGGGAAAAATCTGTTGTTTCCAAATTTCATGGCGTCAACAAATCCCAAAAAAGTTGGGACAAGTCCATTTTTACCACTGTGTGGCATCCCCCCCTTCTTCTTACAACACTCAGACGTCTGGGGACAGAGGAGACCAGTTTCTCAAGTTTAGAAATAGGAATGCTCTCCCATTCATGTCTAATATAGGCCTCTAACTGTTCAATTGTCTTGGGCCTTCTTTGTCGCACCTTCCTCTTTATGATGCGCCAAATGTTCTCTATAGGTGAAAGATCTGGACTGCAGGCTGGTCATTTCAGTGCCCGGATCCTTCTCTTACGTAGCCATGATGTTGTGATAGCTGCAGAATGTGGTCTGGCATTATCGTGTTGAAAAATGCAGGGTCAAGCTTGTGGAGCTTGTGGAGCTTGCTTAGAAATGGCTTCTTCTTTGCACTGTAGAGTTTCAGCTGGCAACGGCGGATGGCACGGTGGATTGTGTTCACTGACAATGCTTTCTGGAAGTATTCCTGAGCCCATTCTGTTATTTCCTTGACAGTGGCATTCCTGTTTGAGGTGCAGTGACGTTTAAGGGCCCGGAGATCACGAGCATCCAGTAGAGTTTTACGGCCTTGACCCTTACGCACAGCGATTGTTCCAGATTCTCTGAATCTTTTGATGATGTTATGCACGGTTGATGATGATAACTTAAAAGTCTTTGCTATTTTACGCTGGGTAACACCATTCTGGTATTGCTGCACTATCTTTCTACGCAACAATGGTAGAATTGGTGATCCTCTTACCATCTTGGCTTCTGAGAGACACTGACACTCTGAGAAGCTCTTTTTATACCCAATCATGTTGTCAATTGACCTAATTAGTGTTAATTGGTCTTCCAGCTGTTCGTTATATGCTCATTTTCCTTTTTCCAGCCACTTATTGCTACTTGTCCCAACTTTTTTGGGATTTGTTGACATTGTGAAATTTTGAATCAACATATTTTTCCTTTAAAATGTTACATTTACTCAGATTAAACTTTTGATCTGTCATCTATGTTATATTACGAATAAAATATTGACATTTGCCATCTCCACATCATTGCATTCAGTTTTTATTCACAATTTGTTTAGTGTCCCAACTTTTTTGGAATCCGGTTTGTACATGCCAAAAAAAGCTACAAGTAATTTATGAAAGAGGTCGTTTTTTTGTTTTGTTTTTGTTTTTAAATCAATGTTTGTGTGTCCTATGAGGAAATCATGAAACGACATTAGTTGAATCGGAGTTGAGTTTAACACCAGAATTTTTTTTTAAAAAGTCCCCCTGAAACCTTCTGTAATTTATTTCTGCCCTTTACAAAATATTTTATGTTAAAAGTTCCAATATGACATCAGAATGCTTAGTATTATCCTGCTTTTAGAGACACATGTTGACTGCTGATCTTTTTATGATGCTCAGTGAAATCATTGATTAACAGGAAAATGTAATAGTCCTATATCTTTGCTTCATTCTAGTTATTCATTCGCCAGCCTTATGGCACCCTCTGCTGGGGGATTCTGCAGGTTTAGCAGGTTCAATACAAATTTCACGTGTGTGCGTTTAATTTTCAAGCGTGTGACCTTTTTACACTTACTAATGCACATGCTCAGCATCAGTCATTTTCATTGCATTGTGACCTACATATATTCATGCCAATTCATTGAAACTTAGTTTGAGTGTTTATACAACCTTATGTTTCATCTGTGCTCTGCAGTCATTCTGACCCCCAGCAACGTTGCAAATTAGATATTTTGTTATGACAATGAATGCTGAGCTTGAATAACTAGGAATGTATTTGGCCATGTAATGCCATTTTATGATTATATTTTATTAGTGACTGTAAAAAGGCCACTGATCCACTGACAGTAGTTACACAAGGTCAAGAACAATAATTACATTAAACACAAAGGCTTTCAAAGGTCAAAGCTAAGATGAAAATAATAAAACAATGGATTAAATGTAAAAACACCATTTAAATTTTTAAATATTTAATTGTAAAAGGAGAAAGCAACCCAGACAAAAAAACCTCGGGATATTTTCCATTTTTAAAAGTGCATTGTCAGCCGTTTTAGTCTCCACTGTCCACAAAGTAACTGTGTTCTGAAGTCTGCTCTTTGGAACAGAGTCAAAGTCATGAGACCAAAGAGTCTGACTCATACCATCTCCTGCGCACCTCACAGCAGCAGGACATGATGAGGTGTACAAAGTTCAACAGGGGTCATCATTACCCTTCTTATGCTCCCCTTTGACTGGAGTACATCATCAGTCCACCAGGACATGGGTATCTTAGCATGATGGACTTTTTTTTCTGAATTCCACATAAATTTAAAATCAGACCAGAAGGAAAACATCATTAAGAATTAAAAAGCTATCAAACAAAGATAAGTCAGGTCCTCTAGACGGTTTCTTTTTGTTGAAATGTTTCGCCTTTCATCCAAAAGACTTCATCAGTCCAAGGAGCCACAACAAACTCGGTCTTATAAAGAGCCCTTTCACATAGTGGGTCAACCAGTTTGATGGTGCTCAGATGGTTTCTATAGTCTGCCCTCTATAGTGTTTTGAACCATTTTGGCCATGACTGCCTCAAATGAGTCGGCGGGGGAGAGGGCGGACAACAGAAACCATCTTATCATCATCAAACTGATTGGCCCACTATGTGAAGGTGCTATTTATAAGACTGAGTTTGTTGTGGCTCCTTGGACTGATGAAGTCCTTTGGATGAAAGACGAAACATTTCAACAAAAAGAAACCGTCCAGAGGACCTGACTTAACTTTGTTGGATTTTTCTACCTGGATTATTGAGCATGAGTCAGGAAATTAAAGAGCTAACGTTTCTTGTAGGAACGCCCACTGCCTTTTTAGACTTAAATCACCACATGTTGAGAAGTGACAGTTGTTTTGGTCAATATTGTGAGATGTTTCAGAGCATTTGTTATGATTTACCCTCAGCTACGAACAAATTAAATCTGAGTCCAAAATCTGCAAAACTGATTAGTTACAGCATTTTTCAGTTGGTTAATGTCAAACGAGTGTAACAAATGGCCATGACAGGCAAAGGAACACATAAGGACAAAAACACTACAACCCTTTTGTATTTGGTGGCAGATAAAGAAAAAGTCCATTTTCTTTTAAATCATCTTGATAGGAGCAGAGCTGTGATCGGCCTGCTGCAGTACCAGTGTTACATGTAAGGGGAGTGGGGGGGGGGGGGGGGCATTAGCAGCAGGACTATTCTCCAGTTACTGGAAAGCCAGAGCTCACAATGATTGTACAGAAGGAAAAGTTATGCTGTGTACCTCAGTTCACTTTGGTTTAACAGAACCAATTCACACATCTTAACGTGAATCAAAAAGTCTGCTGAGACATTAACTTACGTTTTTATGTTACTGAGGCCTTTAGCCTACTATAACACTGATGAACAGCTGAAAATCTCCTCATGTACGATACGAGAACTTTGTAAGAAACAATCCAAAACTTATTAACATTCCAGTTTGTGTTCTTGATATCATCCCAAAGTTTTCTAGCTCTTAAAGTAAGTAAAATTCTCACCCTGCTGCTATGGTATAACACATAAATGCAGCTAATTCAAAGGATCAAAGGGAGTACATCTTAATATTTTGACTCCAATGAATTTGACCTAAGAACAAGGTCATTTTCCTTTAGCAACACTGAGTCCATTCTGGCACTCACTTTTAACATTCAGAAATGTGTGACTTAAGCAACCACAATATTATTGGAAAATAAGAGCCCACTGAGTAAAAGAGCAGCTGCATGGACACAGGATTATATGAATGTAAATATATTTGTTAATTATAGAGCAAACAGA